TGCATAATAAATATTATAAATGCTTTAAATTAATATATATTAAGAATTATTAAATATTATTAAATATAATGCGGAAATAAACTTTATATTCTTAATTTTTTATTTAAAGGCATAAATAATAAAAATTAAATATAAATAAATCCCTATAAAGGCATATTAATTTATTAAGAAAGTTAAAAGATATTATTAAGCCCTTAAATAAATATATAAAATCCTATATATTAAGTTATATAATAATATAAATAATAATGCTATCTTATAAATAGCTATAAAAGCTATTAATAATATTGCTAAATTAAATAAATTAATCCCTATGCTTTTAGTTTTTAATGCTTATTTATAAATATTATATAAGTTATCATTATTATTATTAATATAAAAGTAAGTAAAAGCTATTTTAAAGGTTATAAAAATGCTATAAAAAATTATAATTAAATAATAAGTGCAAGATATATTAAATATTAAGGTTAAACTTATCTTTAATATAAAATACTTAGTATAATATAAAGTTTATATATAAAAAAAGAAAAAAGGATAAAAGGGTTTATATAAGGTTATTATTATAAATAGCTATAATATAACCTTAAATATGCTAAATAAAGCTATAAAATTTAAATTAATAATTATTTAATTATATTATTAAAATAATAATAAGAAAATGCAACTTTTATAAGCAAAAAACCTAGCTATAAAACTTTAAATATAACCTATTATATAATTATTATTATTAAAAATAAAAGATTACATTATTATATTATATATTTTAAAAAAAATTATAACTTAGCAATTAAATTAAAATAAGATAAAATAATTATAATATTAAGCTTATTATTTAAAGAGTTTAATAAAATGGAAATTAATAATCTTATTATTAAAGGTATCTTTTAAATTAAAAAATAATTAATAAAGTAATATAGTAAATATTATTTTTTTAAGTTTTGCATAATATAAAAGGTAAAAAGCAAAATCATAAAACTATATAAGAAATCTTAATTTATTATTTAAGGTTATAATAATAATAAAAAAGGATTAATCTTAATGTAAAGCTTAATTATTTAAAGAATAAGCTAATAAATAATCCTTATACTTACTTTTTTATTAATTTAAGAAAAAGGTATAATTCTTATACTTTAAGATATTATTTAAACCTATCCCTAAGTAAAGTTAAAATTATATAAAATAATCCTTATAAAGCTATTAAAGGAATTAAAGAATAAATACCCTTTAAGTATAATTATTTATATTATTTAATCTTTATATAGCATAGCAAAATTTAATATTTATTAATTTAATATATATTAAAAATATTATTAATAAAAGCTTAAGATAAACTATTTTATATATAATCCTTGCTTAATAATTATAAAACCTATATAATTCTTTAAGATAATAAATATATAAATAAATAATATATTAATTTTATTTATATTAAAATTTTAAAATAAAGAAAAAATTAAAATAAAAGCTATAAAATTATAAGGAAAATTAAAATAAAAGCTAATGCTTAAAAATTTAATAAATTATAATAAGGCTTGCATAATTATAAATATTATTAACTTAATTATTACTTAATAAAAGGAATAAGTTAATAAACTTGCCTTTATTAATATAATAATTAAAAACGCTTCCTAAAAATACCTTAAATAAAAAGTTTATAAAGTATATATAGCTTTAATTTATTAATTAAAAGCTTTATATAATCTTTTAATGGCTATATAAATGTAAAACCTAAAGGCAGGAAATTATAAAAGCTTAAATATATAATTATTATAATAAATAAATAATATTATATAAGGAATTAAGTATATATTCTTAAATTTTAAAATAATAAAACTTTTTATATTTATAAATAAATTATTTATAAATAATTAAGACTTAATATTTTAATTTAAATATATTATTATTTTTATAAATAAAATTTATAAAAAAACTAAGAAATTTATAATAATAAATAATATTCTTTATTAATTATTAATAAAGTATAAATATATTATTTAAAGCATATTAATAAGCAAAATATATAATATAATAAATAAAATAAATATTAAAATTTCCTTAATTATAATAATTAAAATAGCTATAAAATAATTCTTATTATTAAATATACCTTTAATTATTTATATAAACTTATATAACTTATATAAATACCTTATAAAGCTAAAAATAATAAAAAAAAAGCACTTTATAATTAATATTATATTATTATAAAAGTTATATAAAATAAAAAAAATTATTAAAGTAAGATAAATAAATAAAAAAGATAACCCTATTAATATAATAATAAAATTAACTTTAAATATTATATTATAAAAGCTTATTAATAATAATAAGCTTTATATATAAGTAAATAAATTAATTAAGAAACTTAAAATAACCCCTTTTTATTAAGGAAGGAGCAACTTACCGCTAGTACTTTTTCCTTTTAACTTTATTATTATTAATTATAAAACCTTATACTTTTAAACTTAAACCCTTAATATAAATTTTAACCTTTTATATTTTAATTAAAACCTTCTTAATACCTTATTATATATAAAAATAACCTTATAATTATTAATATTATTTATAATTATTATTTTAAAGTTAATTTTATTATTATTATTACTTTTTATTACTATTTATTAATAATAATATTAAAATTAATTTTTATTAAATTTATTTATAACTTATTAACTTCTTTTATAATTAAAAAATAAATTAATAATTATTATATAATAATTATAAAGTTTTATATTATAAATATTTATTTTAACTATTAAATTCCTATAAAATCTTTTCCTTTTCATTATAATAAAAAATATTAATAATAACTTATAAAAGTTATTTAATACTTTTATTACTATACCTTATAAAAATAATAATAATAAGTAAAATTATTTAGTAAACATTATATTTACTTTTTATGCTAAAAATATACTTAATATAATTATTATTATAATTATTATTAATATAATTAATATTAAAAGTAACCTTATTATAATTCTTAAATAAAATTAAAATTCCCTTATAAATATTATAATTATAACCCTAATTAATAAAATAAATATTATAATTATAACCTTAATTAATAAAATAAATATTATAACTATATTTTCATTAAGCAATAAAATAAAAATTAAAATTATTATTAAGGCTATAAAAAGAGCTAAAATTACCTTAATTAATAAGGATAAAAATAAGCTTATTAATTTTATTAATTTTTATAATAAGGTTATTATTAATAATACTTATTTAATAAATATTAATAAGGATATTAATAATGATAATATTTATTTACTTACTTATTTAATAAATATTAATAAAGATATTAATAATAATAACTCTTATTTACTTAATATTAATAGTAATTTAATTATTATTAATAATAAAAATAATTAAAATTAAATTAATAAAATCTTAATAAAGATTGCAAAGATTGCCTTTAACTTTATTTTTATATTAAGCATTAAAAAAAATAAGCTGCTTATTAAAATAAACTCTTAAGGAATTATTAAAATTAATAAGCTAAAGGTTATAATTATAGCTTAAGTAAAAATTTTTCTTAAATAATATTATTATAATAATTATTATTTAAATTATTAATAACTTTTAATATTAAAATAAGTAAATATTTTTAATAATATAATTAAAAAGCTATATATTTATATTAAAAGTATTAAAACTCTTAATATAAAACTATATAGCATCTTTAATAATAAAAATCATTAAGGTAATTACTATCTTAAATATTAAATCATTATAATTTCTATAATAAATAACTTAATAAAAGTTTTAATCTTAAATATTTTTTATATATATTAAATTAAAAAGATTTAACTATTAAAGAATTAAATTGCTATATTAATTTAGCTTTAAAACTTTTTATATTAAACTATTAATAAATATATATAAAGCTTATATATAAAGAAACTTATTAAAAAATATATATTATCGCTTAAGCAACTTAAGTAAAAGATAATTATTAAGGAAATTAAAAAGAATAATAAAAAGTAAAAAAAAAAGATAATAAATAATTAAGTTACTTATAATGCTTAATTTTAAAAAAATAAAAAGTAGCTAAAGAAAATTAATTTAAAGTAATATTAAGTATATTTTAATAATAAAAGTAAAAATAAAAATAATAATATTTATATTATAAAAATATATAATAAAAATAAATATAAGTTAAAGGGTTTAGCATTAACTTTATAAGTATTAATTTTTCTTATAAAGAAAAGATTTAAAATTAAGGTTATTATATAAAAGTTAATAATCTTTATAAAGAAGTAATCTTAAAAGCTAAGTATTAAAAATAATAAATATAATATTTAAAAAATAATATAATAATAATAATTATAAGTTTAAAGGGTAATATAATAGCAAAGATTATAAGTTTAAAGAGTAATATAATAATAAGGATTATTAAAACTTGCTTTAAAACTTATAAGTTATAATTTTAAGCTTTTTTAATAATGCTTTTTTATAATAAAGATTATATATATTTAATATATAATAAATTATAATTTTAAGGCTAATTATAATAAAGATTATTAATTATAATAAAAATTATATATACTTATTAAAAGAAGAGAAAAATTGTAAATATTAGCAAATATAACCCTTATACTTAAAAGGCTACTTTAGTTATTCCCTTTAAGGCACGTAGCCTCTTAAAACTTAGATAGAACAATACTAATACATAATTGCTTCCCATATAATTATCATATATACGAGAGACCTACCAACACGGGCATCACCCTTGGCTCTTTGTAATGGTAATTACGGCTATCGGGTCTCTCAGGCTGTAACTGTGGAAGATGCTTCCTGTGCCTTATATAGCAGCATCGTGAGATAAGTCACAAGCCGGGCACCTTCTTCCCTCTCTCAAGCAATTAATCATCGAATTCGTTGGACCTGGTCGCCTGGGATAACACAGTAACTGCCAGAAAAACATAAACTGAGGCTGTCCGCAGTTGTCCATCAGTGAAATTTTCCTCCAAGTCACAAATAGACCTCATGGGCTACACGCATTCGTCCATCTCGCCACCTGCCTGCTGCATTGCTGTTCCAATGCAGGCCTTTTGGACGCCTTTCTTGACAAACATGGTGCTGCTGGCCTCCATATCCCATGTGGAATTCGGATATGCCACATCAGTCCATGTGAAACTCCAAGAGCTGATGTCTCCACAAACGTTGATTCTGCGATGAAGGATCTCACCATCGCTTCCAACCCCGCCCAGCAGAAACCCGCGAGCCTTGACCTCCAGGTCAAACCAAGTACCGTCGCTCACGGCTTTGAGCACGGTCATGACACAAGTGTTGTTGGACCAGCCGTCAAACATACCGATACCCGATGCTTCGTAGAGCGATACTCCCGGAGAGTTGTACACGGGATCCTGGTACTCTGAGCCCAAGGGCACGCCAATCGAGCAGTTGGTACGGACCCATATGACCTGGTAGTGGAATCGTGTTGGTGAGAAATTCATAAAAAGACAAAAAGGTACTGCAGTTAAAAGAAAAACTTACAACACCATCAGGGCCACCATCAAGAGACCAGACTTGGTCATGGCAGACGTCCTGGGTCGTTGTCGTCTTGTTGAGACATTTCCATCCCTCCTCTGACGTGCCTATCTTGAGGCCACTTGTTACTGTACCGCTGCAAATATTCCTTAGCATCACTCAACTCGAGCGTAATGGCCTGCCGAGTTCTGAACTCACCAGGTGCGCTTCGTAACGGGTACCCAGGTGAAGTATCCGCACTCACCGGGCAGAGGCGTGATGGACCAGCTATGACCCTTTGTAATGCCCCAAGATGACCCAATGCCGCCCGTGATACCGATATCGAGGGCCCTCTGGAACTCCGCAGTCCCAGAGATGTACCCTACAAGAGACCACTTTGTCGAATCTGCCTCGCGAAGCTCACAGCGCATGGGATAGTGGCATTCGGACCTGAAGAATGGCGACTCGCGGGCCCAGACATAAGTCGTGGTAAGCTGACAGAAGCTCGCGCAATCTTGTTGCGGGTCTCCGGATTCCTCGCAAGCACCCTGTTCATCCAGGTGCTTGGGAGCGGGGCACAACGGCTCAGAGTAGTCCTCATACAGCGAGATTTGCGGGTAGTCCAGACCGTCACAGGGATTACGCCTGGCCAGAGGTCGTGTTTCAGCCTCGGTGTGGTGGTGCAGGATCCTGGACAGGGCAAGAAAAGGCGAAGTGGCGAAGGCGAAAATCAGGAGAATCAGCATGTTGGCTATATGGTCGGTTGGGCACTAACTTCTGAGAAGGTGGTATTCCGCTGGGTGAATGGAATTGCTCAGAATTGGTCAAGGACGTTGGTGCACACGTTTTTGCAGGTGTGAATGTGAGTAGCTTAAGCGAAAGGGAGGCGAACTTCCAGCCATGAGAAACCTATGCAGGTGAAGGGACATGAAATGGTAGACAAATGGATATCCTTGCTGCTGCGCTGTTTGCAGATTAGACCGAGTCAAACTGAGCAGGAGCGATGGTGCATCTTTGTTGCCTGTCAGCGTGCCTTCCTCTCTGTCCCTCTTCCGTGTCTGAAGCAACGTTGAATGCACACGTATACTGGCAACCGACGAACCCTCGTTGACAAGGTGGTTCCTTCCATGTCTTCGGCCGGGTATTTGGATGATCAAAGGCATGTAGAAGCCATGAAAATCAAAACCGTACAAGCAGCATTCACAGGGAAATGACCAAGTATGTTGCACCGTAATGACTGACTGTATTTTATTCGCTACCCGCACCTCGCTCATGCATTCATTCATGTTGGACTTTACACGACATGGTAGTCGCTTTTTGTGTTTTGAAATGATTTGTTCAGTCTGAACTCCCATTTACCCCAGCTTAATTAGTTTCCATTGTCGTATGACCAAATTTCCCGCCCTGATACGTCCCGACGTCAGGTCGAAACGGCCGATCATAGCCTCCAGGGCTGGTGCTGTGAACAGCTTCAACTGCTCTGGTCAGCTTCTCTAGAAGGAGCCGCCCATCTCTACGTCCCCGCCATTGATCTTGAACGTCTGCACCACCACGCCATCCTTCTCATCAAAGCTCATTCCGTCTGAGTCATAGTCATTCATGCCGCCCCATCCTGCCAGGTGCTTGTCCAGGACAAGTCTTCGGTTCAGGATGTCCTCATAGGTCACACGCTTCTTGTCGTCCGCAATGTTCTCGGCTTGGATCAGCGTCAGCAGCAGGAACCCTTCGACAATCATGGTCGGGGTGTTGCAGAGCAGCTGGCCTGTCTCGGTCCATTGCATGGCTGAGGCCACGATGAGCAAAGCAAACACAGTGAGGATAGATCCCCAGCTGGCCGTGGTGCTCTCAACCCATCTACCGACTGTCTTGCTGATGCGGATGTTGAGTGAGTCCTTGACCACGATCTGGCTCTCCGGCACTTCAATACCAATCAGCGCAAAGATCCTGCGGTCTTGCGCGACCAGCTTGTCAAAATGCTTCATGGACAGCTTGGCCTCACGCGCGTCGACGTTCTTAAGGATGAAGCCGTCGATGAAACCAATGAGTCCTGTGTATGTACCAATGATCAGGAACCAGTTGTCGTCAAACTCCATGGGGTCTCCGACCAGGATCCAGGTGCCAAAGACAAAGGCTGAGATGACGAGACCAACTGAGCCTCCAATGATGTATGCGTAGATGTCCAGACCCTTGACCCATCTGTTCAGCTTGGCAGGCTCGCTGGCGATGGTTGGGTTAGGGGTCATGTCGCCCGTCATGCGACGCAGCTGCATCTCGATCTCAGTATCGAGGCGCTCAATACCCTGCACAGTCTTGTCGAGGTGCTTGTCGTGCGAACTACGGACGTTCTGCAGGAAGACTGTGGTGAAGGTGATTTCGAGAGCTGTGGCTGTGTTGACGTCGAGCTGCCAAGTGTCGGAGAATTGCAGGGGGAGGCCCGAAAACACCCAGCCAATGATGCCAGCCCAGTAGATGCCCAGGGCGATCAGAGATCCTGTAGCCTTGGCCACACCGTTGGAGATCTTGTCGAACATGTCTTGCTTGTGTTGCAGGGAGTCAACGACTTCGGACCTGATCTTTTGTGTCGAAGCCCTAAGCTTCGCGCGCTGCTCGGCCGTCAGGGATCGGACCATGCGCTCATTAGACTCGCTGCGGGAGATGAGGCCGCAGATTCTTTGCAGAAGGCCGCGGGTATTGTTATTCTGCTGCCGCATGAGAAGCGTTGCAGAAGTGTAGGCCTGGATGGAAGAGACATCCTGTAGGATGACCTGCCATGTGTCTGTCGGTCCGAACACGGCACCCAATACACCCCACACCACAAGGAGTAGGAGAACCACGCCCAAGGTCCACCTCGAACCTGCAGCCCTCACGACGGCATCGAGCGCACTGCCCTTCTTCTTATCCGGTCGGGGAGGCAGAGGCGTGGTGCCATTCTGCCCTATCTGTTCGAGTGACTCGTGCGTGAAGTGCCGGCTCAGACGTGCGCTGGTCTCAAGGTAATGCACCTTCTCAGGCACGTTGAATGACTCCTGGCTGGGAAACTGAGTCGGTGCAGCCGCAGAGGTGATGTATTGGGCCTCGGGGGCATTTTTGAGGTCGTGGAAGAAGTTCTTCACAGACCGGAACGGGTTGAAGCCCATGGTGAAAAGAAGAAGAAAAAAAGAAAGCCTTCTAGATCATCTAAAGTGCAAGGATCATAAAGGAGTGACAAGAAAACCCCGGAACGCTCAGCGTACTACAAGGTAACAATAACAGAATCTGAACTATGTTGCAACATTGCACATCACAGATGGCCAAGAAAGAAAATCAATGAAAATCATGAAAGAATGAACAAGAATAAACGAAGCCAAGAACAACTAAGCAACAGCCAAGTTTATGTCAAAAAAAGAAGCCAAGAGAAGTGGATGGGGATCTACGCCACTTTTGTGGAGGAAGCCCGACGGCCGTGATGAGCCTCGTCATGGTATTAGAAACTGAGACTCCACGAGAGACTGCTTCAAAACATGCCAAGATACCACTTATGTGGTATCACGGATGATCTGATTACGTGCCGCTGAAGCAGCCAGGCCCACGTGATCGTCTCGTAGTGGGCGTCCAGAGCGGGCAAATTGCAGAGAAAAGGCAATGGCTTGTGCTATTATTGTCTGACGACGGGCGATCAAGAGCTTAGCATGGACGAAGGAAATCACACACTGGGGCGGGAGGCCGGGAATGCGCTGCCACAGTATATCCACAAAAAGTGCGGAAACCCCCATATTTGACAGCGCCCCCCCCCTTGTTTCCCGGAGAAATCCACCCGCAATGGCCCTAGGAGATTTCCATGGGCCAGTCAGTGATCAGCCCCGCTGCGACGAAGCTTGTTTCGTCTCGACGGCCTAAACCGCTGCCCGTCCCGGGCAGAGAGCCGCGCATGATTGCGACCCACCCACCCACCTTGTTTCCTGGGTGGTCCTGCGTACGGACCCTGAGCATCAAACTCCGGATGGAAGAGGATGACAATTTGTGCCGATGACAATTCTCACCGTTGGCCGGGGCGCGGCGTTTTACAAACAACGGCAATTCCTGTCGCATGCAGTGCTGGATCCGCCTTGATCGGTGCGCCAAGAAGGCTTGTGTCCTTCCGGTGGGCAAGAGCAAGCGTCGTCTATTCTTTCACGGGCAGCTCGTGACGATGAACGGCTCTGCAGATCACGAGAGCGAGAGAATCACAGGATGACAGCCACAACCCTCGGGCCACAGCCATGAGTACACATCTGCTGCAGCTGGCCACTTCATCGCAGGTCGGACGACGTGAATACTGCATGCTCATGACTTTGCTAGGTCACGGGCAGCCCGAACCCAATTGAATGCTTCGTCCAACGAGACTTGACTTCTAGAATTTTGAATCGTGTTTCTCTGTCAGCGATACTCGCTGGTTTCCATTGGCCGCAGCGCAAGAGCTGCAGCGTTGGCTCTCACATGCGAGGTATGCTTGGTGTCGGACCCAACGAGCGGATCCATGACCTTACTCAGGGGCTGCAACCCTGTGACGGACCAATTACTACCTGATGCCCTGTGAGCTGCATCACAGTAACATCAGATGAGTCCGATTCGGACCAAGGTCCACGGTAAGACTTATACTTCCGGCTGGGGTAGTCTAGTTTCAACGCGCGGCTGGCCGGGCAGGTGAAACCGAAATAGGAGATCATATATGTCGGCGACTCGGCGAGATGCACAAGAATGGGTCGGAATGTGTTCAGGAGGAAAAAGGAGGACGATCGCCTCATTGAGCACCGAGCCACAGTCACCGAGACACTGGCATAGAGTGGACCACCTCGCATGGCTATTCATGGGTGTCACGAGCGATATTTGTTGACTTGGGCCGAGACGCCTCAACAATCATCGCATGCGGTGTATACCGAAAGGGTTTTGATTTTGTGGAGTGGAATGCAGAAGTTTAGGACCCGGATGCCTAAGTTGGGCAGGCCATCTGTTGCTGCTGACCGGATCGAACTAGGACATGTTGATGACACTGTTGCCTATTTGTCAGTCATGCATGGGGGCGCGCCGTGTTGTTGGTGTGCTACCAAATGAGTATTGTCGCCACAGACTCGTCTTTACACACTTATCCCATGAATGACAGGAGCATACACCCACTGTGGTGGTCTAGCCTGATCGCGGACATGAGACATCACGTCGTCCCTGCACCGGTCAAACACACAGTCTCGTAGAAAATAAGGTCGGCTAATGGTTGCCAGATTGGTATTTTGATTGATTTGATTATTTACAACTTCTCGCGACGCTTGCCAAGAGGTATGCTGGGGCTCGCTCCAACAAGTTAGGTGCCAGTGTGGAAACTGGTGCATTCCATACAAGATTAGGTCTTCTATTTCAGTGCCTGCCTACCCCAACAACTCCTGTATAGCACGGGTCATCAACGTCGAGTCTTGATGGCTTTGCCCAGAACAGCTCTATTTCTTCCTCCAGTCCAGGGTTGACTGACACAACAGGAACATGGTCAATTGACCCTACTGAACCCCCTTCAGCAACGCGAAGAGGACGGCATCTGGCGATAGGTTGCAAGCTTACCATTAAAGAAGAGGACTTGAGAGCCAGAAAGGGTACAACATTGGACACCGAGACGGGCGAGGGCTTTCTCCTTATCAGGAAAATCCATTATAGTGCGTATCTAAGCTCTACCATTGCATCTCGTCATCATCTACACACCAACACCCATTCACATTCCGGGAAGAGTCGGAAGCCCTATATATGATCGTCAGAGAGGTCGAATAGACAGGTATAGCACATCGAGCATAGAGCTTACAGCCATCAACGTCCTCATCCACTGCCGACTTGATAGTGCAGTCGTTTTGGGCTGACATGCTCTGGGTAGTCAGGGTGTCACAGTTGACATAGCAAGGCGAGTCCATGGTCCTTTGCAGTGAGTCATCCTTCCATCCAAAGACGTAATCGCCATGGTTGCCATATCCCGTCTCATCATCCATCGACCACACGAAAGGTTGTGAGCCGTCAGCGGGCCAATCGCTTGGATTATGAATTGTCGTGTATCCCAGATCGTTTCAAACATGAGCTGTGGGATCCTGACTGGGTGGGAGGCAGGACAGGGGCCCCCGCCCTCAAAGGTCCCGTTGGCAGGATAAGACACATGGTCCATGTGATTTACTGAGTCTAAGTTCTCCCCGTCCCAGCAACTGTGTACAGTTCACGTTCGGTCAGAGGGCTGTCAATCACAAGGACGGTCAGGAAGGGGGTGTCTCACGTGGGGAATCGGACATTGACCATGATCCCAGCGGGACAAGGTTGCGAGGGGAAGTTCTTGGTCTCAGGATAACGAGTGTATAAGTCTTGCAAGCACGTGTAGGTCAGCTGGCGGTAATGCTCTGCCTTCTCCGGTGTACGAGCTCCCTGATCGCCGACGAGCATGCGGAAACCCTACGTGTTCGTTGGTGTTAGCACATAGGTCGGGTGGAGTCCGGCGGGAATCATGCTCGCGAAGTAATTCAAAGGGAACACACCGGCCTAAAAGCAGTGACTCTGCTCTTTTGCTCAAAGTCTGCTAGCCCGTCTTGCATGTAGTACACTGTCATTCCTCCGTTGGCGCCTTCGAACCCGACATTTCCGCGGATTGGCACCCGCTTGTAGGTTCCGTTCTGAGCCTTGAAGAACAACACGGCGGTCCAGTAGTTAGACAGGTCTTCCGCGAACTGGCAACTCGTGCACGTGGACAGACTTGGAAGGTCATGCGTGACTGGATCCATGGATACATTGAATGAGTTCTGCGAGCATGGTTAGGCTTGACATGAGCATGCTACCTAGGTATGGTGTTTGAGAGTATGTATGCAGGGTTCACGCACGCCACCGACGATCTGATGCAGATGAGGGGATGGGTTGACTCCTGGGTTGACCAGAGGATCAAGCCTCGTTACCGTCAACTGGGAACACCCGAACCGGATGAGTGCAGCTGATGGCAAGGCGGCGCCAATCGCCAACCAGGCCACGTATCTGAGGTGCATTGTGCCTTGTTGGTTATTGCTGGATCCTTCAGACGGATTCTGGTTCTGTAAATGATAATATGCTCCAGTCGTGAGCACGATAATCTGAATGTAAGAAAGTCTGAACCAGATTCATACCCAATCTTCAGGACGTCGGGGTGGACGATTTATTGTACCCGGCATCTCTGCGTCTTAACAACTGCCGCAGAGGAGCTGTTAAAAAGCCTGGTCTCGTATATTAGGATGTTTTCGTCTTGGATGCCATGCGGATAATATCCATTAATTGCCAATGCGATCCGTACCAGCGACCTACACACACGGAGGAGACTTAAATAGCCGGGCCACAACACGCCAATTCCAATCCGCCCTTTCCAGACCAATTTTGTCGATCCCCAATATATGAACACGTCGACACTGGTCTTTTCTAGTGCCACCATACGCAGGAAACAATTCTGAGAATACAAGTCACAGTGAACACAGGGTACCGATGGACCCACCTGCATCTGGGACATAAATTTACAGCCGCAAAAGAACCTCGTACCTGCTCGATTGTGAAAGCCAAGTTCTTGAGCATCTGAAAAACAGGTACCGCCGCGAAATTAATCCTCTTCACCCCCTGAAAGAATGGACTGTGATAAGAAGAAATCCTATCCCTTCCTCTTCGGCGTTTCTACCCCCTTCCCCCAAGCGACTAAGTGCTTTCAGCCCCGAACTACACAGCCACTGGCGGGCAAGAACGGAGAACTTCTGACAGCTGGAGGTTATCTGCATCTGTCTTGGACTTTCCTCCCGAAAGATTCAACCATGAAATCGGGTACTGGACTTAGCTGGATTACTGACAGCTCCAGAGACTTGTTTTTGCGAAGATCAATACAAATTTACTTGATCATTTTTATTGGATATTGCAACTGTTGCCCTTGTTCCACGTGGTTCTCCATTCGGCGGTCAAGTACCATCAAACTGATCGCAAAAAGAAAAAAAAAAAAAAAAAAAAAAACACAAAAAAAAAGGTGCAATGATGAAGAGTTTGACAACACATGCATTAATTGAAACACCCAAATCATAGTCTTCATTTTTCATTATGTTTGATATCATGTTGGAGTTGGTGCAATGTAGCAGAGCCGGCGGGTCAAAGCCGTGGTGGGAAATGGCTGGGGCAGCCTCCGTCCCGCATCCGATCCGGTACTTCAGAACAGCTCCACCTGAAATCCGCCGGTGCTTTAGCCGACATCGTCGACGTCCGCAACATCACTTCTTTTCACCGTGAGCGTTCGTCTTGATTTCTTCACCTTCCAAAACTTGACTGTCTGCCGTAGCCCTCGAAAAGGCCCCCTCGCCATCAAGTACCGCTATAATGCCTTTCCTCAACGTTTCCTACAAGCGTCTGCACTACACAGACTACCCGGCCGCATCCGATGCGACGAAGGGGACCATCGTCTGCCACCACGGCCTTGGCAGCTCCCAAAACTTCTACACGCCTATCGTGCCGCAGCTCACTCAGGCTGGCTTCCGGGTGATCACCTTTGACACTACTGGCGCAGGGCGCTCGCAATACACTCAGATCGAACAATCTGTCAACTCCCTCGCCGCCGATGTGCTGGGCCTCATCGACGCGTTGTCCGTCAAGGGCAAGGTCATTGTGGCAGGACACTCAATGGGCGGGATGGTGGTCACCCACCTCGCCGCGGAGCACAGGGATCGGATTCAGGCCATAGTTCTAATCGGCCCTGTCTCTCCGTCGGAGGGGGTCTCCAAGGTCTTTGAGAAACGCATCGAGACCGTTGAGAGGGAAGGCAGTAAGTTGTCCTTGAAGTCCCAGCTGTGATATGTATATGATCACTGACTAATGGTGGGAATAGTGGAGGCTATGGCAAACACGATTCCCACAGCTGCTACGGGAGCAAATGCGGGCCCCCTGGTTGCAGCGTTCATCAGAGAATTGCTGTTGGGTCAGGATAAGGCCGGATACCTGTCGAATTGCAGGGTCATCGCGAATGCCACGAGGCCAAGGTACGAGAAGGTCGAGTGCCCGGTGTTGTTGCTGGCTGGTGAGGAGGACAAGTCGGCGCCTCTGGAAGCGAGCAAGAAGATGTTTGAGGAATTTGGGACAGAGGGCTCAAGTAAGCGTCTCGAGGTCTTGAGTGGCGTTGGCCATTGGCACTGCATTGAGGCACCGGTGGTCGTAGGTGACAAAGTTCTGGAGTTCTTGAGCTAGGGGGCACTTCTGTCCTTTGCAATACCAACCTTGCTTCTTGCTGGGAATTGCTTGACTGCCTGAGAGCCTGGAAGTCTGGCACAACATGGAGACAACGGTATCACATCTTGGAAGGCCGTCGACTTCGTGATCACAACCATCCAGTCACATAGTCCACCGGCCGTGTGCATGGCCGCTCTTCGGCAGAGACATAGATCCAACCCACAGTAGATCTTTCCAGCATCGAAGCGCGTCATCAAAAGAAAGGAAACAATTACACATGAATGATCTGCTTCCAGGGATTCTCATCAGTCTACCTGAAAATGCGGGCAACTACCACAGTTGGGCATGGTTGCCGTGGGAAGCAGGGGCAGTCGGTCAGTCGGAGCATTTCGTCCTGATGTTTTCGATGTCTGCAAAGACTCACAAACATGGCGTCACTACAGACTGGCCAAGCTTCGTTAGTGCTGTTGCTTTTGCAGCAGCGATCGCCGCCTACTCGCCGTTTGTAGGCTGCTGTGGGACTGGTGAAGTCACCGACTGCCCAATTCTTCCCCCCGACGTCATCAAGCTGTCAACCACGGACCAGAGACACTGCAGTAGACAATATTAATTGCAGGTACGAGCCTGATGCACCTGTTGCACCGTGTCTACAGGGCAGGTACATACGTGTTTTCTGAAGCATCAGGCAGGCACAAACAAACAGTCTGAGAGTCAAAATAACAATTCAAAATGTCGGCCGCTCGATTTCTCCTCCCAAGCACCACTGGCAGACTTCTTTCCAGAGCAATTCCGGCGACAGAGACAACCTCAGGCACCATTTCCACACGTCTTTCACGCCAAAGTAACTACCAGAGCAACCCAACCCACAGCCACAAGTCCTCGTTTCACACATCACCACCGTCCAAGATGGCCAAACGCACTGTCGAGTCGGACATGATCTCCGAGATCACCCAGAAGGAGAACAAACTCACCGGCCAGGCCGACCCCGTCAAGGGTGGCCCTACTGCCCAAGCCCAAAGCCACGTTCACGAGAAGCTCTCCGGCGGTTCTGTTGTGAGCGACATAGCCAAGGGAGAGGAATCCATCACCCACAACGGCGCTCCCGTGGCCGGTGGCCCTGCTGCTGCGGCGCAGTCCCAGGCAGCCCAGGCTCGCAATGAGGTAAGCCGTGTGCCTGCCGAGCCCTTGGCATGGGACTCCTTGCTCCTTCGTGTGGCTTACAGAATCCGCAGGCGAAGGACGCACCCCAGATGCACAGCGGAAAGCTTGACGGCCAGACCATCTCGGAGATCAACGCGGCTGAGAAGGATCTCACCGGCCAGAGCGCTCCTGCCAAGGGCGGCCCCACGGCCCAGGCCCAGAAGCATGCCGGCGAGCCCATCAATGCGCAGACTCTGCATGACATCACCGAGGGCGAGAAGAAGGTGGCAGGTGACAGGGTCAAGGGCGGCCCAACTGCAACTGCGCAGTCTAAACTGGCAAAGTCACGCCAGTCCTAGTTTTTGACGATTTGGGCAACCACGGGGCGCATAGCCAGCGCCACAGTGCAGTTTTGGCCCGCAAGTCCGCAGAATGGTCGGTCAGGGAAAGACATGAAGTCTTGTATTAATATTTTCTGAACGGGAGCCTTTGGGACGTCCCTGACCGGATGGAACACAACCCACCATGTTGAGATGTTGCTATGAGATGGCTATTGTTTCGGTGCGTTGAGCCAGGAGGGATTCAGCCTTGGAGTGATACATCTTCAGATCTCACTGCAGCCAATAAATTTTCATATGCGTATGGCTCTACCCGAGGCCATCTACCGATAATGTCTCGTAACATATGAAGGGGGAATTTCAAAGAGACCACCAGTGTGGAGCCATTTCACCCTGCGCTGCTAGAATTGCTGTTATGTGTCGGTTGTCAGCATGCCTTGCTGGTTTCGTGAACAAGGCAGCACACCATGATAGGGCAGCCGTCAGCGAACTGTTTCAGTGCCGGGTGGGCAGTCTGACGGAGCGGCGACGCGATATGTCGGCATTCAAAGGGTCTGAGGCAGTGGTCAGCGCCGACCTAGTAATCCAACCCAAGCCGAGCCGAATCAGAAGCTTACGTTCTTGGCTTGTTGACACCATACCTGCCTGTTGAGAACTCCAGGCCTTGCCCCTGGTTGAACAAAGCCAAGTGCTGGTGCAGAGGAAACACAGTCAGGCACATACGGTCATAGGGTACCCATGAAGAGTTAGGAAGACATGTCAGGGCGATCAGATCGGTTCAGTGTTAGGATAGGGACTTACTAGCTGGTCGACCTCATGAGTTCGCCCGACAATTTACAGAAACTGTGATTGGAAGCATTACGGATGTTTCTCGTAATTGGAATGGTCGAAAATACACCATTCTCAAATCCCATCCCCTTTGTTTGCTACATTGTTTTGGGAGAGGATAGGATTCGGCCTTTCTTTGTTCGACCCCGAGCATCCGTACACTACCAAAGGGGAGACTAGCCCTAGGTGAGTCGACGTGTTCAATGATCCCGGGTCGTCCCAGTGCGTTGGCGGCTTCTGACAAGTGGAAGCACCCCCTGACATCAATCACGCCTGATATGGAAAGCACCTTGAACCCTCGTGATCAGCTAACGCCCTCTTCGGCTGTGCCGGGATGTCAACGAAAATATGTCAGTCGAATTTAAGATTAAGTAATGTTGTGTCATTCGCCACACCTCAATCTAGGAATCGGCCAGCGATTTCTATCGCCGCCGTCGAATTTTGATTTGCAAGCTTTATCAAGTGTCGGAGGCAACAAGAAGCCCGAGAGGAGGGTATGTTGAACATGTTTTGTAGCGGGCCTGCAATAAGCCGCTCGGTCCGTGCTTCACGACCGAATACCGCGGCGTTCGGCCCAGTAAATGCCTAAGCCGACGGGTCCGGATGCTTTTAGCGAGGCCAACGGAGCAGTCGGTAGAAGCAGAAAGACTTGAAGAGATTTGCAAGTTAGTGATAATCGAATTTCAGCATAACCTTTGCGCGAAAGTAGTACCCAGGTCCGGTATGGCTTCACGACTACGCAGTGAAACAATCAAGTAGGCAGATCGGATGATTTTTTTGACAGCGGTCGCCAATCTCCAGGCCGCAGTTCAAATGGAGCTTGTTCGCAAATCATTTTCGAGAACAGCATTAATCTAAAGTGCATCCCTCATTGGGGGCTGTGTCACTTGTCCAACGTGTTTTGTGACAGGGGTCTTGTTGATCAGTCCCCGTATGTAGCAAGCCACCTATCTGACCTTCCTCCTCGATGCAAAAATTATGGCAGCCTGGCCGAGGTTGACACAGACATCTAGTGAGCTGACACAGGGCGTGCCGAGTGATCCGTTTCGGGCGCGCACCGAAGAACCCGCCGCGCTTATTTCACGTTGACAGTCCGACTCTTGACCTCATCATTATGGTGGGGGCCAAGAAATCGTCTAACTATGTATATCCTAGGCTCCCCAGATTCGTCCGATGTCTCTCTCTTACATATGTACCCAAGTTCCAGCGCATATTCATAATCCTCTCTCTACACGGCACACTAATTTGTACACTTTGCACCACCACACTACCTTGCAACAATCATGCCTTCGCTTGTGGAGAGCAGCCCTAGCCCAGAGCTGGAACACGAAAACAGGAGACATTCCTCCGGGAGAAAGCGCAGGCATCAGGAGAATCCCTACAGATCGTATGCACTGGCGCACCCAGCACCCATTTACATCGACAAGACACACCTCGTAAAGCACCTGCGGTCGAGACAATTCTTGCAGATACAAAAGATATCTTCAGATACGAAACATTACACACCAGACATGGACGTGATATCATTCGCGCCGCCAAAAGACCCAATCAGGATTGTCTCCGCCCTGAAAGGCCTGCTGGAAGGGAAAATAAGCCTGAGAGATGGACGGCTTCTTCGTTTCAACAAAGACGATGTGTTGTTGACCAGGTATCGCGAGGATGATGCGGAGTCGGGAAATACAGCCCACCCGCCCAGGAAGGATTCGATCATGGCACCATTGGAGAAAATTGTCGGGAGGGAGGTCCTAGCAGTCTTGCGGAAAGACAAGAAGATCATCCTGGACGACGGCCGGCTTTGGACCGCGACGAGTCATCAGAACAGGTCGTTCGAGTTTATCACCATGGACGAGCACGGTGTGAAGACGGTCACGAAATGGGTCTTGTCAAAAAGGCGGATCTCTGGCCTTGACGACCACCCTCCCTCCTCGAGCCAGCAGCCAGACACCACGTTCCACTTCAGCATCATCCGCCCGAACACCCGCAAGCACGCCGTGCTGGCGTCGTTGACTCGGTCATCCCTTCAGATCAAGGACAGTTACAACGAGCCGGCAACCAGCTTTGGCTCTGCGGAGGATTTCGAGTCCGCCCCCAAAGTGGTGGACGAAGCTACGAGGAGCCTTATTACAGCTACCGCTGTCTGGGTAGTGCTTACCCTTGGATGGTCGCCGGCATTCAAGGCATCTGTTGGGGACCAACAGGACGCGTCCTGGAAATGTGCCCCGGTTCCTCGTCCAACGAAGCACTCGACATGGTAGTTGAGAAGTATATGTTGCTTATTAATGATTAATCGAGCTGAATTTTCTGAAATTGTCTTAGTTTTAGCCTGCAAATAGTGTTGTCGGAGTTTGCATCTTACCCAAACCCTCCTCAAATGAAGCCGTTGCATCTTGTATGCATGTCCGATAATATCAGCAACACAGATGTGATTGTTTGATAAGTGTTTTTAAGGGCTATCTATGGGATTTAAGAATTGTAATGAACTCACAGGCCCATCTGACATGTAGGATGTTAGCATTCACGTCGGTAGGCTCAGGGGCTCCGAAGAAGGGACTTGACCGATATCAAACACGCAACCTGTTCCTCGATGAGCACCTATAATCTACCATTAAATCTATCTGAGATGTCCTTAGTATTGGGCATATGTTTTGAGTGAATATTTCTTGCATCGATGATGAAGAACCCAAAGGCATCTGAGTCCAAGGGTCTCGCCATCTCTGAGGTACCCTGTGCGCATGCATGTGATACTTGCCACATCCACGCTCTCGGGGCTTCGAATAGCACACTGCGTAAAGACAAGGCAATGAAAATTTCGATTCGACCGCTTCACTGTAAACATTCCCCGTTCTTAATAAGGTTCGTTACATCAGTGCAGCGAATTTCTCACAGAGCGATGAGCACATTCCTTCTCTTGGGCTCGGGGTTCTGTATCTGTGTCAACCTCTTGTTCAATCAAGATATCAAATGCAATCCAAGCACATATAAAGAACTAACAGGAGATGATTACGTGTTTAACTGAATAGTTGACATTGATATGAACAGCCTAGAATGCTGCAAGCCAGCTTCGACAATGCTTGGCAACCTGACCCCAGAGCCTGTCGATGCTGCCACCAACCGGCACTCCACCACTTTCAGAGTGCCCTACACGACTATCTCCCAAATCAAAGGCTAATATAGTCTCAGCGATGAGTAACGAGGCACCAATTTAGCAGCCTAGCGGTGCCGTGAACAACTGCCTTAGAGAAAGGCGAGGAGGTGAGCTGTAAGTGCTGAAAGGGGTTAGTATCCGCAACCTCTGCGGGAGGATCGAGTTGGCATCCGCAGCTAGCTTTCCGCAGATGGGTACCTGAGCGCACCAATTCTGATATAAATCAACAGCGCGTTGCCTGTGGACTGAAGACACGTTGAAATTGTTTTACATGACATTTTGCAAATATTTGAGTCCCTCGATATCTACAGCTAGCTGATACGCTCTACTTCCAGAAAGCCTATATCAAACGAACCAGACGCACAATCAACTCCTGGATTTATGGAGCACCCCGATATCATAACGGCCCACGAGACTCCGGGCGGGCCTCCCCCAGGCTTGAGCATGCTCGGAGGACTGCGGTGGTCTCGCAAGCACCCGCCCAAAGACTACCAGGTGTCATTCGCAGGGAGGACGGTGCTCGTCACGGGCGCAAACACGGGCCTCGGCTTCGAGGCAGCAGTCAAGTATGCGGCCCTCGGCGCCGAAAGGCTCATCCTCGCCGTGCGCTCTTCCGCCAAGGGCGAGGAGGCAAAGAGGCGGATCCTCGAGCGCACCGGAAGCAGCAGCGGCAACGTGGACATTACCATCCTGACCGTCGATCTCTCTGAGTATGCGTCGGTCCAGGATTTTGTGCGCAACCTGGGCCAGGAGACACGGTACCTCGACGTTGCGCTCCTCAATGCTGGCCTCGGCAACCCGAAGTTCGAGCAGTCCCCCGCCGGCTGGGAGATGGCGGTGCAGGTCAACGTGCTCTCCACGGCGCTCATGGCCGTCCTGCTGCTGCCGCTGCTTCGATCCACCGCGGCAGCGCGCGGCAAGGCGGTGCACATGACCTTCGTCAACAGCCATGGTCATAACATGGTGCAGAGGGACTGGTTTGCCTCTGCGGATGGCAGCCTGCTCAAGGCGGCCAACGACAGGGAGAAGTGGGATGCGACCAGGAGCTACAGCATGGTCAAGCTCATGGGCGTGGCGGTCATGCAAGCGGTTGCAAGAGGAGCGGCAGGCTCCTCAGCATCCTCCACGAATCCCCAGCAGCCTGGAATCATCGTCAATGCGGTGTGCCCGAGCCTCTGCAAAACAGACCTGGGCCGTAACTTTGGGACAATGTCGCATATTTCGGGTTTCTTCTTCCAGGCCGCTTTCGCGCGTACCGCCGAAGAGGGTTCACGATCGCTGGTCAGCGCGACGGCCCTGGGTCCAGAGAGCCACGGGCGGTTCTGGCATCACGACATCTTGTTCCCGTGAGCCCCCTTGCTGTTGCGACAGTACAATCATCTGCTTCATCCACCTGAACTGACATCTGCCTAGGGTTGGAGATCTCGCAAAGGATGAGGCTTTGATGAAGCAGACCTGGACTGAGGTTTTGGAAGCTGTTTCTCGGGCACAGCCTGGTCTCCAGCAGATTCTCGACGGAGGGCCATGATGGCGCGGCTGGTTCTGATAGATCGGAGCACGTATCGATGGCGGATGAGCCTAGGAAGGAGGAATTGTGAGCCAAACGTTCTTCGCTCTGTGCTGCAGAACCCGCAATAATACGAAACAAGTTTCGACATCAGGATGTTGTTGATTGGGGGGGAGCCTGTGCGACGTCAATAATACAGACGTACACTGCGCCGCCAAGGTTTGCAGGGACCGGGATAAGTCCTAGGGTTGGTTGGTTGGACGGAGTGAAGATTGACTGGAATGAGGGCAGATTGCGGCTGAGAGAGGCAGGGGTGCGATATGAGATCAGCTTCTATCTCTCCATCCTAAAACACCAGTCTCGTGCGCTTCAAGCTTGTCCATTTTTCTCCTTTGTTGTCACATTTGTCACTGGGTCGGCTGGATTCCTTCAATTTGCTTGTCCTCACGCCGCGCGACGATGACAACAGGGGCATGGCCTGATTCTAGCTCCCACCTCGGGAAGGATCAGATCTCGCCCCGTTTCGCACTGCCACCAGAGTCCGAGCCCTTGGCAGCCTCAGCGACACCCACTGGTGAGGTTTGGCGCATGGGGCCTCACCGACCAACTTTGCTCGAATCGCGGAATAACTGCTCGGTTAACGGCTCTGCCGTCAAGGTTGAGTGTGACCAAGCTTTGTTTGACCATGACAGGTAGCCACAAGATGCCCCGCCCCGTCTTTGTGGTGCGCTGTACGACCGCATGACAGCTGAATGGCGAAGGGGACCCAAGAGGTTTCTCGCAAGATAGCGTTTTGTGCCAGATGGGGACGCGGCCGACGGAGTTGGGATTACACCAGGTATCACCTGTACCACGCATTGCATCAGTGGCCACGATGGGCCAACACGCGTCAAAGGTGGCACATGAGCAGGATACGAGTGTTGCTGCCATCACAGGCTAACCGCACCTAGAAAACACCCAGAAGCAGGAGGCACACAAGTCTAATGTTGTTGCTGTGCCCAGCGCTGCAGCTAACTGGGCCGAGAAACGCTGGGCTCTGGGCTCCTTCCTCGTGTGTGGGGGAAGTCGCCAGTCGGGGCGCGTCATTGACATGGCCCCTGTGGGCAAAACGGAGCGCAGCGGCTGCTTGGCGGGCCGAAGCCGAGCTCCCGCCTGGGCCAACGTGCGCAACGTTCGACGGTGCAATGTCCGTCCGCAAGGCGTTTCCAAACCCGACTCTCGTGTTTCGATTTCGCCTTCTCGCCTGTCGCCTCTTTTTTCCTGTTCTTTACTGGGCGTCGCGGGTCCCATTCCTGTACAAGCGTACTCTGGTCTTTCTCTTGCCAATTGCGCCTTTTCGCATTTTCTTCCCGGCATGATTTCAGCGGCGGTCCCGCCCTTATGACCCCCGTCTCCGACTTTCCCGGCCTTTCCGGGCGACCGATCCCCAGTTCAAACCCGACGTCGCATGAACCTTGTGCCCGAACCTTGACCGATCTCTCGGTAGCTTAAACGTTGAGCACGGCGCGGGCCTGCGCCGGTCGCTATCACATCATGGCATTGATGCGCCAGACCTGGACCCTGACCAAGAAGAACCTTCTCATCGTCCTGGTGCGCCATGGCTTCTTTACCACCATACGCGCCTTCCTGGCGCCAATAATATTTGTGAGCTCCCCCAGCCGCGCCCGCGCCCCGTTGAGGACCTTCCCTCTGCTAACAGCTCTGCTGTAGATGTTCATTCTGGCCTACGTCCGAAACTTTTTCGTACCCCCGAGTACCTTTGGTATAGGCTCGCCCACACCCATACGAAGCCTCGAAAATGCCCTCGCCGCCTCGACCGGAAACCACAACAAGGTTGTTTTTGTGACCAATGGGCACACAGGCGGGGATATAGAGTCTGTGATTAATGCAGTGTCTGCGCGGGTGGAGAGTGCTGGAAAGACTGTCCAGGTGGTCCAAGATGACATCGACCTCCTCACGACCTGCGCCAGCACCCTTCGTGGCTCATCTACTTGCTTCGGCGCCGCCTCCTTCCACTCCTCCCCCACCGAGGGCTCTTCTGGGACCTGGAACTACACACTCAGATCAGATGGAGTTTTTGGAGAGAGGATCTTTGTCGACAGGACTACCAACGACGTGGAGATATATGCGCTTCCCTTCCAGCGGGCTATCGACTCGGCCATTGGCTCGTTGAATGGCACATCCGCGAGCCTGGGATCGGACTCCATCGACGAGTACCCATATACCGACACGACCGCCGAGGAGAGAGATGCCCTCATCCGCAGGCTCTACATGGGTGCTCTCATCAGTATTTTGGCCGTGGCTCTTTTTCTGGCAATGTCCAATGTCACCTACCAACTTACTGGACTCATGGCCTCCGAGCGTGAACTAGGCATTTCGCAGTTGATCGAAGCCATGACTCCGGCAAAGAGGCCTTGGCACATCCAAGCGGCCCGGTTGCTATCGAACCACCTGGCCTTCGACATCATCCATCTCCCAGGATGGATTATCATGGGAGCAATCCTTCGAGGTCTGGCGTTTATCCATACCAGCTGGGGTATAATGATCATCTACCACGTTCTCTCCGGGCTGGCGCTTTCAAGCTATTCCATCCTGGGCGCCAGCTTCTTCAGCAAGGCCCAGCTCTCGGGAATCACGGTGACCATTACAGCTGTCATTCTCGCAGTCATCGCGCAGGTTGCAGGGCCATTCGATACCGGCGCTACGGCTGTGCTCAGTCTGCTCTTCCCGTCCATGAATTACGTGTTCTTCGTAATTCACATGGCGCGGTTCGAGCAAAAGGCTCTTGCGGCAAGTCTCGTGGGTAGTGCGCCCACTGGTCCATCTTCGTTGCCTGGCATTGCCTTCTGGATATTTCTAATTATCCAAATCTTCGTGTTCCCTTTTCTAGGGGCACTCGTCGAGAGGTGGCTGTATGGCACCATATCGCGAGAAAGAAAAACCACTACGTCCTCGCCAGATCATGCTATCGTCCTGTCGAACTTTTCCAAGCATTGGACTCCGAGCTGGCTCCGTAAAAATGTCCTCAGCAAATTTGGGCTTGCGGTACCCGAGACAGTGTATGCCGTTAATGACTTCAGTATCAAGGCTCGTCGGGGACAGATTTTGGTTCTCCTTGGAGCCAATGGAAGTGGAAAAAGTACCACCCTGGATGCCATCTCTGGGCTCAACACCATTACCAGTGGCTCAATCGAGATCGATGGCACTGGTGGTCTGGGCTTGTGCCCGCAGAAGAACGTGCTCTGGGATGAGCTCACTGTGTTTGAACACGTCAAGATATTCAACCAACTAAAGAGTTCAGCCGGCACGAGAGACGACAAGAACCAGACAGAGAACCTCATTCGATCTTGTGATCTCGGCCACAAGATCAAGGCCCAGTCCGGTACTTTGTCGGGCGGCCAAAAGAGGAAGCTTCAGCTCGCCATGATGTTCACTGGTGGGTCGAAAGTCTGCTGTGTCGACGAAATGTCTTCTGGACTCGATCCTCTTTCCCGACGAAAGATCTGGGATATTCTCCTCGCGGAGCGCGGCCAGCGAACATTCTTGTTGACAACTCACTTCCTGGATGAAGCCGACGTTCTCTCAGACTTTGTTGCCGTCTTGTCTCGGGGCAATCTGAGAGCCAAAGGAACGGCTGTGCAGCTCAAGCACGAGGTCGGTGTCGGCTATCGTGTATCTGTTCCAAAGCATGAGAACTTCGTCGCTGCGGAGAAGGTTCAGCGCCACGAAACTCTCGACAGGCATGTTTTCTGGCTCCCAGATTCTTCCGCTGCGTCAAAATTCATCAGCGAATTGCGCTCGGGCGGTGTGAAGGATTACGACATAATAGGACCGACACTAGAAGATGTCTTTCTGAAGCTGGCGGAGGAAATGGGTGACCACCAGCTTGGAAGCGATGCACCGCTTGCACTGAGGCCAGCCAGCGCACCAGATAACCTAGAAAAGCCCCCAAACTCCGACGCCTCATCGGGAGAGGAGCCTGGGATCCGAATGTCCGCAGGACGGGGGACAGGTATAGCGAAGCAGACCATGATCCTAGTCCGCAAGCGATTCACCATCCTCAAGCGGAACTACTTCCCCTACCTGGCCGCGGTTCTCCTTCCAGTGATCACAGCCGGACTGGTGACATTGTTTTTGGATGGCTTCTCAGCCATCGGGTGCGATCCGGGAGCTCAGTCCAACGCGCCCAGTGTGTCTGACCTCGGCTCCCTCGACATCACTCCTCTCATACCGATCGGACCTTCTAGCCTCATAACGATGGACACCTTGACGAACCGGACGGGGCTCAACGCTAGTTCCTTCCACCTAGTTGACACCCTCGACGAATTTAACGACTACATTTCGAACAACTTTCACAATGTGACCCCGGGAGGTTTCTACCTTCAGCCCACCCAGGACCCGTTGGCAGTCATGGCCTACATTGGCAACGGAGCAGTGATATACGGCATGCTCACACTCAATGCGATTAGCAATGTCATTGAGCAGACTTCCATTACGACAGCGTACCAGCCTTTTGCGGTACCCTTCACTCCAGGGGCCGGCAAGACGCTGCAGCTCATCCTGTACTTTGGCCTCGCCATGTCAGTGTACCCGGCCTTCTTTGCACTGTATCCGTGTGTGGAGCGGCTCAGGAAGGTCAGAGCATTGCATTACAGCAATGGCATCAGGGCAGCGCCTCTCTGGCTGGCATATTTGATCTTCGACTTTCTCTTCGTGTTGATTGTCAGTGCCGTGGTAACCGGCATCTTTGTCGGGGTAAGTCTGAATTTTTTTCTCGGGGCACGCGGTCGAGCATGTATGCTAATCAAAGTGTCCAGGCATCTGGTATCTGGTATGCACCAGGCTATCTTTTTGTGGTGTTCTTCCTCTACGGCCTGACCTCGATACTCCTCTGCTACGTTGTCTCGCTGGTCACCAATTCCCAATTGGCATGTTTTGCCACTGCAGCTGGGGGTCAAGCCGTCTTCTTCCTGCTGTACTTCATTATGTACATGAGCATCCTCACATATTCGCCTGCCTTCCGCGTCAACTCGGATCTGACCATTGCCCACTTTGCGTACGCGACTATCTCACCCGCAGGCAATTTGCTCCGGTCAATGCTCCTGACGCTTAACGAATTCTCGCTTCTCTGCCGCGACACATCGATTGCTTCATATCCCGGAGCACTCACCGTCTACGGTGGGCCGATACTATACCTGATCATCCAAGCACTCTTCCTCTTCACTGTGCTCGTCTGGTGGGACAGCGGGTACAAACCAACGTTCCTGACCAACCTCAGCCGCCGCCTGCGTCACCGCAAGTCCACGTTGAAGGACACCGACACTGAGGACGACGCTGCCCTCTCAACATCCGCGTCCTCGACCATGACCGACCCCGCCGTCGCGACCGAGATCAAGCGCATCGACGCGCAGTCCCCGCCCGACACCGACAGCCTGCGCGTGCAACACCTGCACAAGCTCTTCGGACGCACTAACCATGCGGTCCAAGACGTCACGTTCGGCGTGCCGCGCGGGCAAGTCTTTGCGCTGCTGGGCCCCAACGGAGCGGGTAAGTCGACGACCATCTCGCTGGTGCGCGGCGACGTCCGACCGTCCCGCGGCATAGACGGCAGCCCCTTCGGCGACGTGTTCATCGAGAACCTCTCCATCTCCGCCCACCGCGCCTCCGCCAGGCAGAACCTCGGAGTCTGCCCGCAGTTCGACGCCATGGATAGCATGACGGTGCGGGAGCACCTGCGCTTCTACGCCAGTGCACGGGGGGTGTCTGACGTCGACGCCAATGTTGAGGCGGTTCTGACGGCCACGAACCTTGTGAGATTCGCGGACAGGCTCGCGCAGAAGCTGAGTGGTGGTAACAAGCGCAAGCTGAGCCTTGGTATCGCGCTTATGGGCAATCCCGCGGTGCTTCTTCTTGACGAGCCCAGTTCTGGCATGGACGCGGCTGCGAAGAGAATCATGTGGCGCACCTTGCTCGGCGTCGCCGCACCGGGACGAGCACTTCTGATAACGACTCACTCGATGGAGGAGGCAGACCGGCTCGCTACAAGGGTGGGCATAATGAAAAGGAGGATGCTGGCCCTAGGGACTGGCAAGGAGCTGGGTGAGAGGTGGGGCGAGGGATGCGTGGTACAAATTGTGCTGAAGTCTGCGCCCGAGACCACCGAGGTTGAAATGGACAATGTGAAGAGCTGGATCAGCGAGAGGGTCAAGGGTGTCGAATTTGAGGAATGGGGTGCGAAAGGCGGTGCGCATGGGCTGTTGAGGTTCAGGGTGAAGAAGGCAGGGTTGGTGGAGGAAGGAAAAGAGGCCGACAAGGCTGGTGGAAGCGTCATCCAGGACGAAGCCGAAGTGAAGGGGGAGAGCAAACATACCGGTGACTCAGACGGCGCACAGGGTCTGGATACCCCCGGGCTGATCGAGCTGTTCGAGGCCCATAAGGACGAGTTGGGAGTGGAGTACTACAGCGTCAGCCCGACGACGCTTGACGAGGTCTTTTTGCGGGTCGTCGGAAGGGAAGAGGAGGACGGTCAAGGTGTGGCTGCAAAGCACCAGCTGTGGAAGCGATACCTGCCGGGGAGGAAACGTGTACATATATGATACCACGTACTATAGAAACGATTGAGCACTAGAGATACTGCATTAGACATAATAGACCATACACATGCCAAAGCCTCACGGGCTTGCTCACCAGTTTGTCACGAACAGGAGAGTGCTGCATTCCGAACTGTTTGCGTATCTAAAACTGTGCAAGTGGCCTCTTGCGGACATGGCACTGCAGTCACCGTAGAAAGGAAGTGACCGCCTGGTTTCGAGACGTGTTTCAAAGTATGTGTGGTAATAGTCCCAAATGCATTGAGGCCACAGTCATTCTACCATCTGTGATGCTCACCTTCAAGCACTTAGACCCCTCCGTCCACCCCAACGGGACCCTGCTCCCTTTCAGGGTTCGGGTGGCCCAAGCCCATCCTGCAGGCATCACAGTGAGTGTACCTAGGTACTTCGACTTAGACAACGACAGCACAAACATCCACAGATACTGGTCTGCAACCCAAATTCACCGTCACTGGTGATGGAAGTCGACCAAGCTAGCAGTTTGGCCTCAGACCGTTCACGGTCAGCACTTGCACCGCGCCATTTGAATGAGTCAGCCGGTAAGCTTCGTGCTAGTTAGCTGCAGTCTCGCGGCGGCCAGAAGGGCGAGCCACCAAGGCAGCAGCGAGTGTCACCTCTCGGTCATTTGACTCACTGCACCGAGCCTGCACCTTCAAGATTTCTGACGGCTTTGTTTTGTTCTAAAAGTTGAGGACCAACGTTTTCCGTTTGCCTTCTTTTCTCCTGGACATTTATTGCTGTCCTCGTTTCGTCCTCTGCTCATCAAGGCCTGGTAATCAAGCCAATCCAAGATGGCCTCCACAAACGAGAATAAGCACGACCTTTGGTTCTTGAAGTCCAAGTTTCCGGTCTTCTTGCCATATCACCAAGCTCTCAGTGCCCCCGAAAATGAATTTGATGCCTTCATCCAGCAGGGTGTGAAGCGGCGAAATGACGATAACACTGCAGAAGCGCATCACTCAGACGACGACACTACCACAGCAGCTGAGTCTGAGCCTGTCCTTGTGTCTGATGCTTCCACCACTGCTGGTCTGAGGGAGGATCTCGTCAAGATTACGGTCGGAGATGACGAAGACGCTTCCATGGCTGACGTGGGAGACGCCGGCGCAGACAACCAGAAACCCATCCACGGTCATCCCTTCATGGATGCCCTCCACTCCCACCAGGACAAGGCGGACGAGCGGCTCCCCTCACTCATAGACATGGAGAACAAGATGCTCACAGAGAACGCCGATGTTGCCCACCGCTCGACCAACCATGTCCTTGTGGACTTGTTCACAGAACTGGAGGATGTCATCTCTGGACCTCGGCTCCTCGAGCTTCTCGATCAGGCCTGGCGTTATGACTCCGCCGCAACCCTCAAGATCATATTCAATGCCCGCTCGATCCATCTTGGCAAAGCTTCCCGACAAACCTTCTACCGATGCGCCGGATGGCTCGCCAAGTACCACCCCTTGACCCTCATTGCCAACCTTCCATGGCTGAGCCGTCCAGTCATTCAAAAGAAGGCAGAGAAGAAGGACGCCGAGAAGAAAATTGACGAAGAGGAGATGGTATTTGTTGAGCAAGAGATGGACGAGGATGATCCAGCGCGCTTTGATATCAAGAATGGTGTTGCCCACGGATACTGGAAGGACCTGGTCAATATGCTCGCCTTGTACGTCAATGGCAAACTGGACGTTCTCGCCAACCCACGTGACATTCTCAACATCGAGCGGGAGACATCCAAGAAGAATTGGCCCCAGACTCAAGAGATAGCCAAGAACCTGAGGCATGAAAAGAGGGACAGTCGCCACGAGGCCGCTGTCAAGGCATTCGAAGAGGACGCCGTCTATCGAGCTTTGCACATGACTGTAGCTCGTCTTTTCGCCGCTCAGCTTCAGAGCGATTTGAAGCTACTCCGTGGCGATGACCCGAAGGCAAAGAAGAATGTGTCGCTTTGTGCCAAATGGGCGCCATCCAACACTGGCTTCCATGACAAACACACCTGGATTTCCACCTCGATCGCCGAGATCATGCACCCGATCTCAAACTTTGCGGGCTTTGCTGAGTATGACGAGGGCAACAAGGAGCAGCGCGAGTTCTACCTTCGACACGCTCGCGAGTCTTACCGCAAGGACGTGGCGGCGCTCCGCAAGCACCTTGAATGCGTTGAGAGGGACATCACAGCCAAGACCTTCGGAAATATTCACTATGATCGTGTGCCATCCTTGGCAATGAACAACTACGCACCGCTCTTCGCTCAGAAGGATACCGATCGTTTCGAGGAGTACATAGACAAAGTTGCCAGTGGCAAGGCCCAGATTTCCGGCGCAACTCTCCTGCCAAGCACGCTGATCAAGGCTGTACGAACGGCGCCTCTCCATGGCGACTACGACATCAGTCAAATAGGTGGCAAGCGCAAGGCCAAGGGGACCAAGAACCTTGTCGACGCGAAGATGAAGCAGCTGGAGGCCAAGAGTCTCGACGGCCAATGGAAGTCTCTTGTCCAGCGTATTAGGGACTCGGGCACACTTGAGAATTGCATCGCCGTCGCCGATGTCTCCGGCTCGATGATGAGTCCCACGTTCCCCGACGGGACCACCCCCATGGACACCTCAATCGGTCTGAGTCTGCTCGTCGCTGAGGTGACGAAGCCTCCTTTCGGGTCGGCGTTTATTACATTTTCAGACAATCCACGTGTGCAGAAGATCGATCTGACAAAGAGCCTGCACGGCAAGTACGATGAGCTGGCCAGATCTGATTGGGGCATGACGACCGACTTCGTCGCCGTTTTCGAGAGGCTGATCCTGCCAATGGCCACTGAGAACAAGCTTTCCCAGGAGGACATGGTCAAACGCGTTTTCGTGTTCTCAGACATGCAATTTAATTCGGCTAGCTCAGGATACGGCAAAGACAAGTGGTCTAGCTCTTACGAGAGGATCCAAAAGAAGTTCCGGGAGGCGGGATATGAGATGCCAGAGTTGGTGTTCTGGAATCTTGCAGGCGGCCGGGCCGGCTACGCCGGGGCTCCGCCGTCTTTCGATGCCGGAGACCCAGTGGCCCCGAAGCCTGTCACGGCTTATGAATTGGGCACGGCGCTGGTCAGTGGGTACTCACAGGGAATGCTCAAGGTCTTCCTCGACGGCGGCTCGTTCGACGACGAAGATACCGAGGAGGAGATTGTTGAGAAGATTGGAGACGACGGTGAGGTCATCGTGGAGAAGAAGCGCCAGAAGCTGGACCCGATCAGCGTCGTCAAGAGGGCCATCGGCCATCCGGCTTACAAAATGTTGCGCGTGGTTGACTGAGCGAGGGTGTGAAGGCGTTCAGGCCATTGTTTTTGGTGTTGATGGGGTACGAAATATATCCAGACCCAGTACAAGTCAAGTAACATGAGTGGCGTTAACCATCATGTGGAAAAACTGTGTGATAATGTGAAGTTGATGACAGCATGCACTCATCTGGCCTAGATGAACAGCACATATTCGTCCACTCAGATGTGTCCACCTTTGAAATGGACCAGTACAACCCGAACGTAAGCGCATACCGTTTATATTATCGCCGATGACAATTTATTCACATCTTGAAGAGGGAGCAGAACCAAGCAGCCTCGTGACAGTGGTTGCAGTCGTTACATGGACGGCATGCCAGCAGGGCACAGACCGACCGTTGGGCTGATCAGGTTAGTCTCCATTTGGAACTGCGAAGGTGGCAGGGCTGGGGACCAAGTTGGAGTTTGGACCTCAGGGACAACAAAGGCATATGGACCAGGGAGGGGGGCCCTCCTGTCAATGGGGTCTACTTTCCACCGCAGCGCTCCTAAACGTATGCGAAATGGCGGACATCCACCACTTGCCCCTGCGACCAGGAAGTCAGGTCCAGCTTTTCGATCGCAGCCGCGAACAAGGACTACTCTACTTTAGCTCTCAGTGTGGTTACAGGAAGCATGCACCACCGTTCGCTGGTTAGCGATGGCACGCTGCAAGTATGACTGCGTACAAGTCACGATTCGCAGCATTTGATAGGACCACGGGCGTGACCATGCGAGCACTACACTACAGGCTAGCTGCTCCTCCGATGCACCAGGCCTGTCGAGATCCCACACAAGATGCGGGGTGAATTGGTATTATCAAGAGTGTCGTTGCCAGCAATATATGGCGGTGGTTGAATTTGGTACCACGGTCAGGTCCAAATCAATTTTCTGGTTGCCGTGCTTCCTGCTCTGTGCGCCGTCGTACCACTTCGACAGCTCCTGAAAGTTCCAGAATTGTGAGAGGGACGTGGTCAAGTGACCTTAATCCCTGTACCTCACTTGACATCCAGATATTATATTTAAATATAATATCTAGATGTCAAGTGACCTTAAATCATATTTAGATGTCAACTGAGCTCGGTTTCGCTTCTATATTTAATTGGCTAAAATTGGTTAGGGTTAGTTAGGGTTAGTAATTAGTGTTAGGGTTAATGGTTAGGGTTAGGGTTAATGGCTAGGGGTAGGGTTTATTTGGGATATATTTAAATATAATTTAAGGTTACTTGATTAAATAGCACGTTATATTTAAATATAATATCTAGATGTCAAGTGAGGTACAGGGATTAAGGTCACTTGACCGCATACCTCGAATTGTGAAGATGAGGCTGAGAGGCGGTTTCTTCGTTGCACAACTGTGCCTTGGATGCATTTATTTACTCAATGGGGTAGTCGCCGGGGAACACGGCTCCTGTCATCCAAACAAGACTGTCACTCGGAGAGAATGGGGCTCGCTTACCTCGTCCGAGAAGACCTCCTACATTGACGCGGTTCTCTGCATGCAATCATCACCGTCACATCTAAACAGCACCCAAGTTCCTGGCGCCAAGACGCGTCTAGACGACTTTGTCGCCACGCACATCAATCAAACTCGTTCGATTCACCTCAGCGGCATTTTCCTGTCCTGGCACCGCAATTTTGTTTGGCTCTGGGAAAACGCTCTCCATCAAGAGTGCGGCTATCCAGCCCATCTCGGCCAGCCTTATTGGAACTAGGCGTTGTGGTGCGACGACCTCGCCGGCAGTCCTCTATTCGACGGTGGACCCACGAGCCTTTCCGGTGATGGAACGTACGAGCCTGAGCAAGGAGACTACGTTGTAGGCGGAGGTGCAACACTGCCCCACGGGACTGGTGGAGGATGTGTTACTTCAGGGCCCTTTGTCAACCAGACCGTCAACCTCGGCCCTTTCGCATTCGACCTGGTATTTTCTGGTCTGCCATCGAACTGGACGGCGTATAATCCCCACTGCCTCAGCCGTGACCTGAACAACTACATCGCCGCCCGCTACGGCAACCAGACGGCCATCGACACTCAGATGGCCACTACTACGATTGCCGAGTTTCAAGACACAATGTCAGGGGCCGACATCAACCTTGGTGTCCATGGAGGGGGTCACTTCAGCGCTGGGTTGGCTATGCTCGACTTTTTCGCGAGCCCAGCCGACCCAGCATTCTTCCTGCACCACTCCATGGTTGACAGGTTGTGGGCCATATGGCAGGCCGCGGATCCAGAGACAAGGCAGTATGCCTTGAGTGGAACTAGCACCATCTTCAACGGGAACGAGACAGGCGAGGTCACTCTGGAGACTACGCAGAATTGGGGAGTTTTGGGGCGGGAGAAGACGACTGGCAAACTGATGCAGGTCGGGGCAGCCGGACTGTGTTACGAGTACATTTGATGTAGGCGTATTCATTCAGGGATCTCGCACACCGACTTTCTCCACGCAGTGGCTTTCGAGATGCTGCCCACTTTCTACTCGAGGTCTGTAACGACCATGTTGACCTATGGTTCAGGAACATTCAGTGGCGGGAGCCACATCTCCAATTGGACAATATCCTGCGTAGATAGTAGCCTTTCCAGCCGCACAGTTGTTGGGGTCGCTTGCATCTCTGGCGAGTAGATGAACCGTCAGCATGTGCCGTACACAACGAGCTCCGCATAGCATCTTACCTCTCAATCTGTGCAATGCACCAGCTTCCGGGCTCGCCAATATCCTGCTGTGACAAAGAGGTGCTACGGAAGAGCTGGGAATTGCCAACCTGCGGTTCACAGCGTTTTCAGGTCAGCATCTCGACCTCCCTGGCAACAGCGTCCGAGGAAAGTCTCAAGACGAGCGCACCGAGTCCTTCCAGAGGTAGCAGCATTCTGCCAGTTCCTCCTGACGTGTTCCGATGTTGTTCACAGCCACGGCTAAGGCGAGCGGGCCAAAAATCAATGCTTGGATGGCGTAGGATTTCATGGTTGGGTAATGCAGTGATTAAGCAGGAGTAGGTAGACGACTGTTGTAAGTGCCTGGAACGAAAATCTTTGCCTTGGTTCTTGTAGTGCTAGCCCGCACGAACGAGATGTTGATCGAGAAAGTCCGTAGGAGTTCTTGGTGACTGTCGATGTCTTATTATGTGAATCAGCGCAGTCGACTTGGGCATATAATACGTAGACCGGACATAGTTCCCGCGAAGGCTCGGAGCTTTATGTTCCTGAGCACGACGCTACTCGGAGCGTGATGCCTGTTTTGAACTGTCAAGAAAGCTTAATTAGCCCCTACTTGGGGTTGAGCCTCCAAAAAGACACATAGTTGCAGGTCTTAATAAAAGTCGCCGTCTGTGAATGCTGGGCTATTCATGCCGTAGTTCTTGGACGTTAGCCCGCTTCTGGCAGAGCGGGACTGGCAATTAAATTGTTGACCAATCTGAGCATCGTTTTGTGGACATAAATCAAGCTTGATGTGTTGCCCAGACTCCAGATCAAGCTGAATCGGGCTTTGGTCTCAACCCGACATATCACAATCGGTCGCAATACGTGATCAACTAGAGGGAAGCGTTAAATGGAAGCCTAGATCTAGTCAAGACACCCGTCCGTTCCCTCTCCACTGCATGGCTACTGGAATTGCTGATAGACTCATGGAGAATGATCTGAGGCTAGATCCGGATGCTCTGGCCAGCGCGAATCATATCATATGCCCTCGTCTGTTTCACGGACCAGTGCTTCATGTAAATCGAGACTTGTGAAACGAGTCGACTACAAGCAGCACCGATGCCCTGTTGATTATGTTCTGTGTGAGGTCATGGTAGTAAATTTGATTCGAAGAAATACTAGTTGTGAGAAACATAAGAGTCCAATGTAACTGCAACATTCCGGTTCGACCTTGTTTGAGCTCAAGAATTTCTCACATTGTGTATTGGAACTGTACAAAATCAGTCAGCAAATCTTTCTCCGGCCATGCAGCAAAGTGCCGAAGAGATTGAAATAGTACTCACGTAGGGGTTCTGGAAATCAGTACTGTCCTTCTCTCCAAAGTCCTTCCCCAACCTGCCTCTGTCCTCCTCCGAGATCCCCTGTTCGCGTAGCTGCCTCGCCCTGCGCCTGTTTCTGAAGACATAGACAAGTCTCCACAGCACGATGAGTAAGAACTCCAGCCCGAAGCAAATTGCACAACCAATTGTGCCCGGCACGTACCGAGGCGCATCGGTGGATTTGAAGATTTGCGATCCTGTCATATTTCCCACACAATATCCCACGAACGTAAAAGAGCTCGTCAGGGTCCTTTTCGTCCTGCCAGCAGTATTGGACGGGATCAGAGTCCAGGCAAGGAAGAGCGAGATGACAAATGGCACGGTCATGAAGTAGCCGCCCCACTTTGTCCACTTATACTCGGGTTCGTTGGGGAGAAGAGCCATGAGTAGGAATCCCGCAAAGGGCGGAATGGTCGAAAACATCATGAAGTACATTCGTAAGTTCTTGTACTTGCTGGTGACGAGGCCGATAAAAACAAAGTACAGGACCGAGAATGTGCTCCTGGGGATGTCGAGCAGGATGGCCTGCAGGTTGGTAAACCCAAAGGATGTGTTGATGATGTGACCGAACGTGGTCAGGCCTCCGTTTGGCACAGAACTGAGGAAGGCGTTGCACCCTGCAAACCAGAAGCACGGGTCCATGAGGCACTCACGTGCCTGCTCCCACTTCCATCTTTTGATGCCGGTGCGGTCGTGGCCTGTATTGTTGGATAGGATCCGGGTGTTTGCCATTGCCTTCTCGGATTCCGAGAGCCAGCGGACTTCGGAAGGTGTTCCAAGAAGAAAGAGACACAAGCAGCCGACAATGATGGTCAGGGAACCGAGGAAATACGACATGTATCTCCAGGCTTGGAAATCCGGTCGATGGTACTGGACAGAGCCGATTCCGTAAAGAATCAGGCTGGAAATAACGCCGAAGCCAGCGTTCGCGCTCTGGAACACCAGAGACCGCGACGAGTGCTCCCGCGTTGTGTACCAGCTTCCGATAACCAGTATAAACCCCGGACTGATGCAGCACTCGAACATTCCCTGGAGAGCTCGTAAAATGATAAGGTGAGTGAAGTTTTGGGCGAAACCAACACCCAAAACAATGACACCCCAGCAAATCATATACAGCGAGAGAGTCCGACCCATCTTGTATCGCTGGAGCAAAATGTTGGAGGGGAATTCGAAGCACATATACAAAATGTAAAAGATCGTCGTCAGCCATGAGTATTGCTGTCCCACGAGGCCGGTGTCTTCTCGTAGCCCAAAAGTAGCTTGGATGCCAAGGGAAGTTTTATCGGTTTGCTGGATGCCATAGCAGAGCCACATTAGGGGGAGGAGATATCGATCGATCTTTCTCTTGAGATGCTTATACTGTTCATCGGTATACTGACCTGTTATTTGATGAGATATCAGCTTCATGTCGGAGATGTGTCTGAACAGTTGAATGATTCAGGTGAGAGAGACCGAATGCAAAAGAATATCTGTGTGAAAATCAGCAATCATTCGGCTGGACTCACCGCGATCCTCAACGGCATCTGCATCGATGACGCTGCCTTCTCCATCTGACTTGGTATTCTCCTCGTCGGTCCCGGATTTCTCGCCACTTTTCTCAAAACCTCCAATGCGATCTGCCTCTACAAGAACTTGGGAGACATCTCCTGGCAATGTTTTCACATCTGAAACTGCAGCCATTCTGGCGATTCGCAGAGCAGGAGGGCCGAGTTCCGCCACAGTGCAGTCGGAAATGGATCCAATCCAATCTGATCAACGTGAAGGGCGCGTGACAGGGTGAAAAGTTGAGGGAAGCTGGCTTCTACGATGTATTCCTCCCAAGCGTGACACGGAAGGCTTTAATACATTGTCGAGAATCCAGACCCTTGAGCCAGTCGACCATACAGGATTCCGGTTGCATTATCAGCGGTGTTTACTGTATCCCGCACGACAGTGGATAGCCAAGAGATTGAGGAATGAGGGGGGCATGACGACTACAGCAGTGCGGACAGTACCACTGAGCTGTGACATGGCCCAGAAACTACCGAGGGCGTACGACAGCGGGACAGGGGAACACAGCGATATCAGATGTGATGGGCTAGATAACAAGGACTTGGCAGCAACCTATGGACAGCCGTTGTTACATTCTCGAGGCATGCCGTTGCTATCTTATCGCCGCGCATCTGAAAGAGTCCTGTTCGGCATTGCAGTGGACGTCCGTAGTGCGACCTGTGCCTTGATTGCGGGGGCTATAACGAATGGCTGCGCGTGGCTCTGGGATGCCTTTCCAACTACGGTCCAAAAGGTGGTCAGCGATTAAGCGGGGAAAGGAATGTTCCAGAGTCAGCGTACGCCCACCCAGCTTCTACAGTACGCCCACCCAGCTTCCAGCGTTGGCCCACCCAGTACAAGGAGAATCAGCTGCATCCGCATTAAAATGCAAGTACTGCGGGGTTCCTAATAAGCCAGGGTAGCTATTTTCCAATTTAAGCAATACTTTAAAAATACAAGCCTAAAAAGCCTAGAGGGCCCCAGAGCCCCCAGAGCCCCCAGAGCGCCCAGAGGGCACCAGAGCGCCCAGAGGGCACCAGAGCGCCCAGAGCCCCCAGAGCGCCTAGAGGGCTGCAGAGTGCTTAGAGGGCCGTAGAGCGCTTAGAGGGCGCAGAGGGCGGCAGAGGGTAGAAGTAACTTTTAAGTTGTAAATAGAGGGGTAGCTATGGGACCCCTTTGGGATAGCTATAGCTATGCTTTATTAATAACCCCGCAGTACCAATATTTTATAGCATATGCAGCCAATTTCCTTGTACTGGGTGGGCCAACGCTGGAAGCTGGGTGGGCGTACTGTAGAAGCTGGGTGGGCGTACGCTGACTCAATGTTCCATATCTTCAGTAGTGTTCTTATCTTCTGGGGTTCGAGCCAAGACAAATGTACGGAGGGGTCCGCCGCCCGCGTCCAACTCTGAGATTAAAGATAGGCACGACGGGCAAAGTCCGCACCGGACCGGTTTACATCTGTGATGCTATGAACTGAGGCAGTTTAGAAGTCAACATTTTGCGGAGAGCAGGGCAAGATGTAACATCTGAAATAGTGGAGACAGAACCAGACCCTGTGCAGTATATTGGGATGAAGAAGGCATCGTTCATTAATTGCCCCTGTACCTTGAATTTGGACAATCAACCATAAAAGTGTTTCCAAAGGAGGTCAAAATCAATTTTCCGTCTACCCATACTGATAACTACTTCGAAGACATCTTGCTCATAGGCACCCAACATCATGGCAAGAGCTAGTGGGCAAAGCTATCCAACCCTCGAGAATCTTATCGTCAGCTACAAAAGATCTGTTGCGAAGGAAGGACCATAGACGCCATCACACATGGTGCAAAGCTGATGATATTGGGTCTACAAGCCTAGCATTGAGCGCGAGGAGTAAAATGAATCGATGACGACTCAAGAGGGGCAGGGGAGCTTTGCTGCCGGTATTCTCATGGTGTCGGCCGTTGAGATGACGACCTGTGATTGCGGTGTGTGCTTGTAAAAGACAAAAGCCTGAGGTGCTTTGTGGGGCGAGAGACTCGCACCCACGAAAAGCGGTCTCCGTCCTCCCGCCACCGAAAAGACGAAGCTTCAGGTCCAGCTGACTCTTCGCAGACCCATTTTGTTCGTCAGGTGCAGCGGAATGGCGACCTTGTATCCTGGTGTAAAAGTCGCTGTAATTTCCTTAATGAGCTGATGGTCAAGGAGTACAGTTGCCGGAGCCGGAGCCGGAAAGCAGCTGATCACAAATGGAACGCATCCAATATCAATAAAACGGAGAGGGAACAGTCGGAAACTTTCAGGATTGGCGGGATTGACAAATAGTCTCTGAAGGGCAACCATACACATGCTGCATAACAGATTAAGTTTCTGATGACGGAGCGCAAAAGAAAGAAAAAAAAGATCTATTATACCCTGAGAGTTCAAGGACGAGTATCACCTGATCCAGATGAAACCGTTGGAGATAGTGTAAGAATTCAGGACGATAATAAGGTATATTCAAGCTATTCAAAGGAGGGAGATTTGACCCATATATATAGACGAACATCCGGCTAAGTCTCGGTCTCCTAATTCATACTAAAATAGCTAGCAAAATAGAGTCCTCGTGGTGATTATTAGTTTGGGGCTGTGATGTAACTAAGTAACGGCGTATAAGCCGCGTATAGACGGTTTATTTTAGAGATAGCTTAGAGAAACAATAATCCTACACTGGTCGGAGAAGACTACCGTTTATCATCAAGATCAGCAACCATACCATAGCTGCAATTATGACGTTGGTTGCCGGCTGGGTGAATTGGAGCCGATGCCGCCTGCGCTGAGGGAACTGAAAGTGTAGGTAGATGGTTTGTTGATTAGAAGGAATCTGTGTAGGGTGTGCTGCAGGCTTGGTGTTTTGTGTGCCTGCTAGCGGGTGCCTGGCAGCTTATGTAAGAAGTGTGTGTGCAGGGGCTCCCACTACAATTGGCTGCACATGGCCTGTGCGCTAATGACCTGCCCCTTGCATAAAAGGCAGCGGTAAACTTAACTTCAACTGATACACTGAAGACAGAAGCTTTATCGCTGTAACCCCGCTTGTGACAAGGGGGTAACGTTGGCCGCGTGGCGAGCGGTCCCCAGGGGCCACTTAGTGGCTTGGCATGTTAATTCGTGCCGACTGCGCTGGGCACAGCCTAAAGACGGCCCCTATCTATTTTAAATAAAACAAAAATAACTATCCCTTTATCTCTTCCTTTCCTTATTTCTTTTAAGAGTGGGTGGGTAGGTAACTTTAATGCAATGTAGGCATAGCCCATAGGCTGGCCTATAAATAAGAGATAATGTTATGGGCTGGCCCCAAAGGGGCTGCAGGCTGGCTAGCGCCTTCTCCCATAAGCTGCAAAAGCAGCAACCTTTTAACTAAGCCAAAAGGTACGTAATAATCCAAGCTCCCTTGGATTATCTAGCCACACTATATAAGGCTTGGGCTTCTAGCCCAAGCCCATTACAGATAATAAGTAAGGAAAGAGGGAAAGATTTGGATAAATGCAAGTAGGGAATGCACTCCTTTTTATTTACTTACTTTTATATATATAAATATTATTATTTATTAACTATTGCATTATATATTTATATGGGTTTTAATTAACTTAATTAACTGCATAGCAAGCAATTTTTAAAGATTATTTAATAGCTTAATATATTAATTTATATTAATTATGCTAGGTATAGCTTAAAGATGACTTAAACTTGTTAATTTAATTATAATTAAGGGGTAATGATATAATTAAAGCGGTATATTTATTGCTAAAGGGTAAGGATAATGCTGAGGTGCTTTATGAAATATTATAATATCGCTATTCCTTTTTATTAGCTAAGGATTTTGTACTTTTCTTTAATAATGTTAGTATTTATAGCGGCTTTAGCAACGCCCTTATAAAGGCTATAGCTAAGGTATTTATAGGAAGGTATACTTAAAGTAGTAATTTAATGTTATATAATAATAATAATTATTTAATATAAAAAAGTATCTTTTGTTATAGTAAATAACGGGGCCTTTAAGATATATAAGTGGGATTTAAAAAGAGCTTTTATATAGGCATAGGGATAAAGGGGATTGCTTATCTTTATAATGGGAATTATAACTCCTTTATTTCCCTTATTTATTTTAAATATTAATAAAGTTAATAGCAGGTAGTTATTTAAGAATATAATGTGTTTTTAAGTAATATAAAGGTAATTAAAGTTTTAAAAGGAAATATAATTATTTAACTAAGTAAATTTACTTATATAAAGAAAGGTAATAAATATTAATATAAATATAATGTTAAGATTAAGCCTTATATTAAATATCTTGTTTATTATAGCCTTATTAAAGAGTATGCATTAAAGAAGCTTTGGTAATATGGGCTTTTATTTATTAATAATTAGCTTTAAAAAGAAATTTATTGCTTTTTAAAGCAGGAATTTAATATAATTATTTTTAAATACTTTTATAAGCATGTTAAGATTAATATATTAAAAAGTAAATACTTATAAGGTACTTAATAATTACAATATATTTAATATGCTTAATGAAGTATTTGCTAAATATAAGGATTATAATAAATATTAAGAGGGTTGTTATTATTATTAAGAAGGGTTAATTAATATTATATAAATAGTAAATCTTAAGGTATAAGTAAATGTTAATATTATATAAGTTTCTTATCTTAAGCTTAATATTAGCTTAAATTAACCCAATGTGGGTTTTATTAAAAGCAAAGCTGCCTATTTTCTTTATAAATACAGCATTAAGAATATTAATAAGGGGTTTTATTAATTTAAATATATGTTAGCAATAAGGGGCTAATCTTAATAGAAAATAGCATTAATTAAGGAGTTTTTCTTAATAAAGATATATATAATATAAATATTTATATTTATTATAAATATTAAGCAAAGCAAGGCTTAAAGAATTAGCAAAATAATAAGTAATTATATAATGCTATTAAGCAGCGCAATTTAAGTAATTTTATTATTAATATAAATAATAAGCATATTATAAAGTTAGCAATAGCATTATTTATTTAAAGTTAGTAAGATATAAAGGGTTTTTAAAATATTAATGCTATTATTAAAAAAAAAAGGCCTTAAGTTTTATTAAAATAATAACTTAATCCTAAGGGATAAATAAATAAAATTGCTAATTT